CTGTCTAGTCTTTAGGAGTTTTCTATGTCTCGGTAACCCAACATCACATTTGATTCAGTTAAAATCATGGTAGATTCTTCCACCACCAAGCCTTCTCTCAATAGTGTGCTTGAGTCCACAGGAGGGTAAAAACAATCTCGATTCCTATGTAGTTGAGGACCGAAAACCACATGAACTTCCCAATCACCACCCATAAACTGAATGCTTCTAATTTTCTCCAATGTTTTCAAGTCGTGTCTTTGTTCGTCAACGAACACAAGAAATTCAACTATCTCATGAGAATGATTCGTGAACATTATAAAACTGACCAGACGTATGAAGCGTAGGAAGTGGAGAATTCCATGGTCATATCATGGTTGATTAACTCCATGGAGACTGTGATTGACCGTCGTATATGATTATTCCATCTTCTAGGGCTCTATGGACAACAGTTCGAGACACCTACTCGAATGCGGGGAACTCCAACCAACTTTTTGAGGTTCTTAAGACGATCCGTGAGGCAAAACAGGGATCGAGAACAATGACCCAGTACTACAATGAATAAATAGCTTTTTGGATGGAATGTGATCTTTATTATAACTACACGTGGGAATCGTCGACCGATCTTTCCCTTTTTCAGAAAATTGTAGAAAAAGATTGTCTGTTCCAATTTCTAGCAGGCTTTAACAAAGAGCTTGATGTAGTCCACGACCGTATCCTTGGTCGGGATCCCCTTCCACTTATGCTGTTGCATTCACATAAATTCGATGCGAAGAGAGCCAGAGAATTGTCATGCTCAACATGTCCACTTCAGTCGAATCCTTTGCGTTAGCCACTAATAGTATTCAACACTTATAAAACCCTCATCGAGCTACTTGGTCCACTTATGATTACCGTCACAAACCCAATCATACTCAAGAAAAGAGTTGGAAACTTCATGGGAAACCGATATAGAAATCTTCAGCCAAGGGTCTCACTACGACATTTGAATCATTACGACATTCGAATTTACTACGGTAGAACCAGCTCTTACTAGGAATACTCTGGAATCACCCGATTGTCTTAAGAGTCAGATGAAGCAATTAATCAAACTGCTCGAATCAATTCGGTTCACTTACAACTTGTCAACCTCTGACGTCCGTCAAGGTATCACTTCTATGACACTCACTATTTTTTCTAGTTCATGGATCATTGATTCAGGTGTTACGAACCACATCACTGGATGCTCTCAAGTTTTCTCAATATATTATCTATGCTCTAGAAAAGAAACAGTTAAAATTGTTGATGACTCTTGTAACTCTATTGTCGGTGAAGGATCAATTGTGTTAACAACCATTCTAACTCTGGAATCAGTGTTACATGTCCCTCTGTTGAAGTGTAACTTTTTATCTGTTAGTAAGCTTTCTCAACTTATTATCTATGCTCTGGAAAAGAAACAGTTAAAGTTGCTGATGACTCTTGTAACTCTATTGTTGGTGAAGGATCAGTTGTGTTAACAACCTGTCTAACTCTGGAATTAGTGTTGCATGTCTTTCTATTGAAGTGTAACTTGTTATCTGTTAGTAAGTTGAAACATGACATGGATTACATTGTTAATTTTTCTCCTAATGTTAGTGTCTTTTTGGATCGTCATTCGGGGAGGATGATTGAAACTGCTAAAAGAGTAGCTAAACTCTACTTCTTTCAAGAGAAAGACACGGAGAACGATGACACTTCTCCCAATTATTGCAACTTTTCTGGATCCTTTAAATGTCCTATTATGTTGTTACATTATCACTTTGGTCATCCCAGTTTTTAGTATTTAAAACAATTGTATCTATCGATGTTTACTAATAAAAATCTTGCCAACTTAAAATGTGCGATTAGTCAATTAGCTAAACATCATCACATTCCTTATCCATCTCATCCTTACACACCTTCCGGTCCCCTTTCTCCTATTCACAACGACTTGTGGGAACCCTTTCGTACTCCCAACTACACTAATAAATGGCGGTGTCTTTCCTTAATTGATGACCACATTTGAATGACGTGAGTCTATATCTTAACAGATAAATCTGAAGCTGTTGCCACCTTAAAATACTTTCACTCCTTTATTATAACCCAATTCAAAACTTTAATTCTAGTCCTTCGAACCGACAATGGCCGTGAATTTTTTACTTCTATTTTAGTCGAGTTCTTGTTAAATATTGACATCCTTCATCATCACTCATGTACGGACACACCTCAACAAAATGTAGTCGTGAGAAAATACCTACATTTTCGAGAAGTAGCTCGCTCTATTATGTTTCAATCTAATGTCCCGAAAATGTTTTGAAATGATGCCGTGCTTATTACAACCTATCTCATCAATAAAATTCCCACAAAAATTCATAACTTTAGAATTCAATCTGCTACCTTGATGTCATTTTTCTTTACCAATCGGTTCTTCACCACTCTTGAACCTAAAATTTTTGGGTGCACGACCTTTTTTTGGAGCACTACCTCTAATTAAAGTAAGCTTGATTACAACTCTATTAAATGTGTCTTCCTTGGATATTTTGCCTCTCAAAAAGGCTATCAACCTCTTAATCTTGCCACAAATTAACTCTATATAAGTGTCGATGTCTCATTTCAAAGTGTTGCCCACTTCTATGTCACTATCTCAAGTGAAAGGGAGCCTGATTTATTGGACATTATTCCTTATCTGACTCATGTGGATATATCTTCAACCACTATATCCGACCAGCTCTCCATCTCTCTGCATCCACCACCTACCAAACAACAAGAGTCTCCTTCCATTCTCTGTGTCTATACTCGGTGCACGGATGTTTCCACTGAGGAGCCCATTACCTCTTTTTAGGACATGAATTCTTTAGCATCAATTTTAGCTCTGATGGATCCTTTGAGCGTAACAAGACAAAGTTAGTCGCCAAAGGCTACTCACAAACATATGGAGTTGATTATGAGGAGTTATTTGCTCTGGTTGCTAAATTAAACACCATTCGGGTCCTGATCTCCCTTGTTGTGAATTTGGATTAGCCTTTGATCCAACGGGATGTCAAAAATGCTTTTCTAAAGGGGATCTCACAGAGGAGGTGTACATGTGCCTCCCTCCAAGCTTTGAATCTACTGTTCCCCAAGGACAAGTGTGCCGACTGCGAATGTCCCTCTATGGACTAAAGCAATTCTTAAAAGGCCTGGTTCGGTAAGTTCACAAATGCAGTAATGGGTCATGGTTTTTCTCAGGCCCAATCAGATCATACTCTCTTTTTTCGGCATTCGTCCAGTGGCAAAATTGCTATCCTTGTCGTCAATGTCGACGATATTGTGCTTACAGGTGATGATCTACCAACGTTGGAGTCTCTGAAACGTATTCTTGCTACTTCATTTGAAATGAATGACTTTGGGTCACTCTGGTACTTCTTAGGCGTGGAAGTTGCTCGGTCATTTGGGGCATTTGCTTGTCTTAGCGCAAATACGTGTTTGATCTATTGACATAGAATAACACTCTCCTTTGCAACCCTGTGATGGTCCCAATTGATCCCAATGAAAAATTAGCTGTTATTTCCATTGTGATTCCGGTGAACAAGACTCACTACCAACGACTTGTGGGGAAACTTATTAAGATCGCTTTTACTCGCTCTGTCATTTGTCATGCAGCAGGTATTGTGGGCCAATTCATGCATGATCCCTATGTGCACAATCTCCGAGCTGTCCACAAGATTCTTCATTACTTAAAATACACACCAGGCTAGGTTTTGTTTTTCTCGAGCCACACCTCTCGTTCTATTGCTGTTTATACATATACAAATTGGGCTGGGTTTGTCAATGATCGACAATCCGCCTTAAGATATTGCTCATTTGAGTGGGGAAACTTTGTCATGTGGAAAAACAAAAAGCAGTTGGTTGTGGCTTGGAGCAGCGTTGAAACTGAATTTTGTTCCATGTCCTTGGGTATTTGTGAATTGCTCGGTTACGCATCATGCTCGAGAATTGCGTATGCTAGTCTCTGCTCATCTCCAATTGCTCTGTGATAATAAAACCGTCATTAGTATTGCCTATAATCCGGTTCAACATGATCAGATCAAGCATGTTTAGATTGACATGCATTTCATTTAGGAGAAGCTCGATGCAGGGGAGATCTGCATTCCATTTTTCCTATCCAATGGTCAATTAATAGATATCCTGACCAAGAGTCTTTCTCGGCCATTATTTGAATGATGAGTATCTATGTTTCAATTTGAGGGGGAATATTATAATTATTAGGCTAGTTTCTGCTACAGTTTTTATTAACTTTCATTTGCTTACTTTATTTTTGCTTTTTCATATTTATGTATTTCCTAGTTGGCCGATTTTTGAATTTATGTCTTTCATTTTATTTGGGTCTTGTAATATGTATTTATTCTCCTCTTCCTATCATTAAAATTATCCGACTATATTCTCAAACTTAGCATCAATTTTATTGGAACGGGGTTTCTACGTTTTTTTATTGTACCTTCTCACAACTTTATCCTTTTTGACTGAGCGTTTTAATGTAATTAACCCTTTTTGAGTGATTAGTCATTTGATTTTCAAAAATCAAATTGGGGGACGCAGATTGGCTTCATATTTTTCCTGATGTACCTATTAATTTTTTGTTGCGGTCTGCCCGCATGAGATTTTGCAACACTCTTAATGCCACCTTGCTCAACTTGCAACGTAATAAAACTATCCCGCCTATTCTCAAACCTAACATTAATTTAATTGGAACAAGGTTTCTACGTTTTTTATTGTACCTTCTCACAACTTTACTTTTTTGACTGGGCGTTTTGATGTAATTAACTCTTTTGAGTGATTAGTCATTTGATTTTCAAAACTCAACTTGGGGGACGCAGATTGGTCTCAAATTTTTCTCTGATGTACTTGTTAATTTTGTGGTGCTGTCTGCCCGCATAAGATTTTGCAACACTCTTAATGCCACCTTGCTCAACTTGCAACGTAATACCAGTCTATTTTTTTGACTCTCTTCTGATGGTTTGTTTGGCGTTTTCTTCCTTTCATAGGAATCTCCAGAGGGCCTAAAGATGCTTGAATTTCGTAGAAGTCTCCCATCTTACAAAGAAAAGGAGGCATTGTTGGAGGCCATTTCTCGAAATCAGGTTTATGCTGTATTCTTATCTCCTTCCTATGTTTTAATGTTTGTTATCAGTAGTTTTATATGAATGTGTGAGAAAATCTTGCAGCATCTCTTGAATACGTTCTTCTTGTGATTCAAAACGCCATTAGTTGCATTTAAGTTGGATTTTTTGGGAGCGAACATATGCTTTTGTATTTTTTGCAATTATCAGGCATGGAATCCTTTGCCTCGTTCTTGATATAGTAGGATAATTATGGAAAAATATTGGCAGTATTCTGAAATGATCCAAGCTTAAACAATTAAAACAGCATATGGGAAGCCTTTTATTTGAATCAGGATAACGTTTTATAATTATGAGTATCTCATAGTTAGATGCGTGGATTTTGTATTCTTTGTCCTGTTTATCCTACTTCATTTTGATTTGACCCTCCATGATTGATAAGTTCAGCGTGTATTTTGTGCAAATTTATATTGGATTTTTCCAGCGTTAGGCGTCTTTCAAAACTTTTTTTTTTTATTTAGAGGTTTAGAAGGATGAATAAGAAAGGAAAAAATGTGTAAAAGTATCACTAGTTTCATTCATAGGATTGTTGGAAGTTTGTGAATGAAATTCCAGTTTTTGAAATTGAATTGCTAAATTAAGGCATACCCAAGACATGAAGCTCTCACTGATATAGGGTCTGGAAAAGTGTTTTATGCAAACTTAACCCTTGTATGTATAAAAAGGTTAATTTTAGTAATTAAATTTCAGAATTACTGAATATGTTGGAGGCATCTTAACTATGATTCCTTGCCTGTCTTTTATTTAGAGATAAAATTTTCTTGTCTTGGCTCAAGCTTAGCTTAAGAAAAAAGTTATCTGTTTAGGTTTTGTCTTTCAAACCAGTTTATTTTTGAATTGGCTCAGTTAAAATTTGATTCAGCTAGAAATCAAAATTTCAAAATTAATTTGTTTCGCTCAAATCTTCCTTATTTCTGAAACTACCATCCAAGATTTTGAAGGGAACAAGAAACCCTTTGGGCTAGCGTGTGGTAAAACAAAATATTTAAGAATTTAGTAAATCATGAGCATGAAAGTCTGGTAGTTTTATTGTGCTCTTTAAAGTTTGGGTGGTATAAACTAGGATATTTCAATGGTTCCATGTATCATCCCTTCTTTGTTCTCCTGCATGTACGCACACGTATGGTTTTGTTTTAAGGCTCAATTTCTACTTGTTTAAAGCTGAAATTGATTCACTTACGAGATAACTCTTATCTTTGAGTACCAGGCCTTTTAAGTTTTATATGAGCCCTATCAAGTTTAAATTGATCCATTTTGGCTACGATCCTTTTATCTTTGAGTTAAATTCTTTCTTACTTGAATCCAACATGACAACTAGGGAGAGGTAAATTAGGGAGATGAACTAAAGCAATTGGGCGAGTTATTAGAAGAGGTAGTGAAAGAGGTTATTATGCCAGAGTGCAAATAACAAATAAACTTATAATTTTCTTTCCTTTAGTCAAGGCGTTCTTACGCCGTTGTAAATTTTTAAGTTTTTCAATTATTACATCAATACAATGTGTGGCACATTGAGTCCAATAGATATATATATTTTTGCTTTTTATCGATATATTTTCCCTCCATCTTATAAATTTTTGCTATGTTAGTTTCAGCTTAGACTACTAGTTGCTCTCCAATCTTTCTTCTAACAAATAGTTTGAAAATATACTCCATATTTCATATGATCAAGTTCCTATTTTTAATATGCAACTAATCATTCAACTCGATTGTAACTCCTATTTATAAGTTGATTTTATTGATCTTCTAAACCTTATTCAATTTCTATTTCAATATTCAAGCCCTAAGGTTATATATTGAAGCTTGAGGGGAGCTACAGTGCGGGCAATGGGATCCCTTGCCCCCACTAGCTCGACTCAATAATTTTTTTAATTAAAGTGTAAATGTGTGTTAGGGTTGTTTCACCCGTGTCCCGACTTAGGCTTCTTGTCTTGCAATTGCAAAAAGGATCCACAACTTGAATCTCCTAGCAGCCCTTCGGTACCATATTAACTTCCCATCCACGGTCCATTAAGCACCGCTACACAGGCGCAGGCTTCTCCTATGAGTCTCTTTATCTTTTTTCTATGCTATGCAAGATCTTCTTTCTTATCATTTAATTAACTTAATCTATTTTTTTAAAATGTTCCTTGCAAATTCATATTGCATTCTGTTTTTACTTATTAGATGTGTGATTGTAGATTTGAAAAGGGATTATAATTAAATTAAATTAATCCCAATTCATTCTTCATCAGTTTTATTCCGATCATGAATGAACTTATTTCCTTTACTCATAATATTTGAATGTTTATTTTTTTTCTTTATTAAATGTTTCCTATTTCCATATTTTTCTATTTTGATGGTATTCCTAATTTAAAGGGATTCTAGTTTTTTATTTTGTGACTTGCATGCTAATTACTAGGTTCTTGTATTAAACTGTAAAAGAGTCCCTAGTTTCTTACCTGCATTATGTATTTGCTTGTTATTTTAACATGTAGGGAGTCAATAGCAACTTATTCACCCAAGATATATATATATATATATATTATGGTGTAAGTTATTATTGTGTTGAACAAAAATTTCTCTCAAATTTATTCATGGTATCAAAGCCACCATGCTTCTCTCATCTCACTACTCTCGCTGCCTGAGAAAACCGCAACTATCGTCCTTTCGTTCAATTCTTACAATTCGCGGAATACCTCCTCTTTGCATTGTTATGTTGTCGAGCATCCTCACCTCTCTTGGTTTGTGCAAGAGAGTCTTTATTTGCCTCTGTTTCATTCACTACAAGAAGCAAACACCTTCCTGCCTCACATTTTTTTTAGTGAGTCTTGCGAGTCCTGAAGCATAAGTCCTTCTCGCTTGCCTCTCTCGTACACACGTAGGAGGAAGGCAAGCACACACAAGCAACCAACACCGAAGCTCTTCCCTTACTCTCTCAGATTGGTCTTTGCATTTTCTAGCTATAGAACTCACCGCTAGATCCGTCTCTTGCGTCTTGCTTATTTGATTCCTCTTCCTCTTCAACTTCGACTTTCTCGATTTCTCCTCAACTTAAGTATTCCCAACCTTAGCCGGCTTGAAAACTTTGACCTCATCTCTCACATTTTTATCATGACTAAATATGACATTGCTTCGCAATCTTCTTCCTTGGAAGTCATCTTGATATTCAAGCCTACATCTCCAATCCTTATCGCACATGATAGCTCTTCTCATCTTGTCACAAACCATAAACTGCAAGGTTATAAGTTTTTTTAATGGTCACACTCTATCTTCATGCATGTATGCAACAAAGGAAAAGATGAACATCTCACAGGCGAAATCTCAGCTTCAGAAGTGAGATTCCAAATATCGGGTCTGAAAACTTGACGACCTCATGGTTCTGTCATAGTTAATAAAGTTTATGACCACAAAGGTTGGATAAAACTTCTTGGTTTATAGGACGACTAAGGAGATATGAGAGGTTGCACATGACATCTATTCTAGCACTGAAAATTGCTTGAGAGTTAATTGAGATTGAGTCCAAACAAACTAATTTATAAAAGGGAGAATCAAATCTAACTCAATATTTCAACACACACGTTGGCTGCAATTGGATACGATATTTTTTCTTGGAATCACCCCGATGATTCTGCTTTTTTTAGGAGGATTACTAAACATAAAAGGACCATTAAGTTTTTCCTTGGTTTTGATAAAGATCTAGATGAAGTCAGAGGGAGATTTATAAGTAAACCCATTCTTAACATTTGGGAGGCTTTTGTAAAAATTCGAAGGGAGGTGAACTCAAAGAAGTTCATGAAGACAGACAACCGCACAACACCCACCATCTGTTGAAAGATCAATCGTGTACACTCGTAAAATCTTTTAGAATAATAAGCCTAGAAAAGGATGACCATTGAGTGATTATTGTAAGAAACTTGATCATGCAAATGAAACATGTTGAAAATCACACGACAAATATATAGATTGGAAGCCATCTAATAGAAGGTTGGAGAATCACACAAATGTTGCTTTAATAACCAGCAAGAATGCAAAATTCAACCCGTTCACTAGGGGCAAATTGAGGCACTGCAGAAAATGTGTAGTCATGCTTCTAGTTCTGGATAAATACCACAATGTTCTGTCGAGCAGCCCACTAGACTGTTAGCATATGTTTTTATGGTCCAAAATAATAAATTAAAACATTGGATAGTTGATTTCAGAGCCTTAGATCATATGATGGGAGACATCAACTTCTTACAACCTTCTTACAACTCATATACTAATCAAACTGCAGTAGCAATAACTGATGATTCATTCTCACGAGTCGAAGGAATTGGATTAGTTGAATTCAGAAAGGATCTTCATCTCAACTCTGTTCTTTATGTTCCAAAATTAGGCTGCAACTACTTTCAATCATCAAACATACTCGAAATTTAAAATGTGCGCCTAAATTCTTTTCCAATCTTTGTGATTTTCAGATAGTGGATTCGGGGAATTTGATTGACGATGTTGAGATGCGTGATAGTCTATACTTGCTTAAATGAAATAATTTTGGTGGTAGACAAGTTCATCTGTAAAGTTTTATTTCTTGAGTTTAGTTCAAATTCTGTTAACCTAGTTTCCAATTTTAAGTCTGTTTTAGTTAAAAATCAAGTTATGTTGAGTCATTTTTGCTTTGATCATCCAACTTTTGCATACAATGAAAAGATGTTTTCATATTTATTTATAAAAAATTCAATCTCTATCAATGTGAAGCTTGTCAACTTTTTAAACATATTAGACATATATACTCTATACTGCAATACAAACTTTCACATCATTTTTCTATAATTCACAGTGATATTTGGATATTCTCACAAATAAATATAATGATCATACAAGAACAACGTTATGAAAGAAAAATCTAAAACAACCACATATTTCATTCTTTTCATTCCATGATCTTCACTCAATTTCAAAGCAAAATCCAGTCATTAAACCATATATTGTTGTGGAATATTTTC